GTTGTTGTGTATTTTTCTTATTTATTCATTACCTCGTCGCTGCCATCGAGAAACTTTAGATTTCTGCTGCGAACGAGAAAGCCGTCTCCCTCTCACGACCTTGACCTTTCAGGCACCTCGAGTGTGGATGGGCTGTACTTTTGGGAGAGTCCCCCCCCTTCTAGATGCAAGAGATTTAAAGGGGTCAGGAAAGGGGACTGCTTGATAGAAATCTAATTAGGTGATTGTGCTGGAGGGAGCTTTGCCATAGCTGCTCAATAAACTCCCACACACTCGCTCTCCTCCTCTCTCATTTCCCCCTCTCGCTTCACTCTCTCTCCCTCAGCAGTTTGTGCTCACTCCGAGATGCCGTCGCCAGAGAGTCCCCCTGCTGAGGGCACAGTTGCAGAACGCAGATCATGGCTCACTTATTACATCTTCACTGCTGTTCATATTTCTTCAAAGAAATGGGTTGATAATAGAGCTTTTGCTTATGGCTTCGTCTCTTTGCTCGTTATTCTTTTACCTTCAGACATAAATCTGAGAGGGAGAGAGTGATGAGAGGATAAGATCAGGCCTGTGGTTGGTGTATAGCACACATTTTTCACAGATAGCTCTGGACTGAGTGCTCTCTGCTTCATCTCAGTGCGTCTGCGCTCACGAGTACAAAGAACTTCTACATGTCTGGGAATTAAGAGGTTGTTAAAAGACCCATTAAGACACATCTAGAGAAACCATTTTTCAATGCAGACATTCTGTTAACAATGAGTACTGTCCTGTGTGAATTAATATATCTAATCACAGCAGCAACGAGTCGTTGCAAAAGCCCATTATTATGTATGAGTATTAGTAATTTAGGGTTCACTGTCTTGCCTTTAAGCATATAGAATAGAGGAGTCAAGGGAATCAAACTATTGACCTTCTGGTTAGTGGACATCCCGCTCCATTCCTCAAACACGGGGATGGACCTTACAAAACCTTTTCCGTTTCTTTACGTCGACTATGAATTCACCTCTAACTTCAAATTGCATTGCACTAAAGCATTCCTCCTTGTGTATAATGAGTAATATGAGACACAAACTGTAGTGTGGCAGGTTTGGACCTCTCATTACAGGTAATGCTCTGGTCCAATGCAAAAAAGTTGCATGATATAACCCGAACTGTGATGAGCAGCACACACCAACCACACACTTTGACCCCAATTGCAGACACTGGCACTCCATTCAGATCAGGTTCATTATTCGTCCCAAACAAATGTGATGAATTTGCTATTTTTTCTGGAGCACTAGCAAACAGGACGCTGGTTCATCCCGAGCCATTCAGTTCGATTCAATTTTATTTGTTTAGCGCCAAATCACAGCAGGCATTATCTCAAGGCATTTATCATAGTAGGTCAAGACCTTTCAATATTATAGAGAGGAGCCTGGTGGTTCATGCAATGGGCGAGCAGGTGGCAAAAGAGTAGAGAGAAAGATAAATAACCTTTTAATAGGAAGAATCCTCCAGCAGAGAGAGAAGAGAGGAGAGAGAGAGAGACATCATGAAGTGTTGTATTTAAGCACTGCTTGTTATCATGACAATAATATTAGCATAGGCGTATCAATAATAACAGCAGTAATATCAGTAAGAGGGTAATAATGATAAGAAGAAGAATAACAGCTGCGATGTAGAATCAGATGTGGAGTCAGAGATACCTGCAGGGTTAGCATAGACAGGACAAACTTCAGGAGAGAGGAGACACAAAGTGAATACACCGTGTGATATAAATATGCTAAGAGAGAAAGAGAAGAGGTGCCCAGTGCATCATGGGAGTTCCCCCAGCTGTTTAAGGCTTAGTCCATGGATCACCTGAGCCACCCCCGAGAATAATCTTTGTATGAGAGGAAAGTTGAATTTGGAAGTTTGGATGCAGTGATACAGAGCTGGTTTGTAAGTGGTTAAATTTGTCTCTAACTTTAAATGTTTGGCCGTTGTATCAGTTTTTAGTTGTCAAGCATAAAGATAATGTAAAAAAGCTGATACTGACTGTAGGTCTGCTTTAAAGAGAAGTGCAATCTGGATAGTTTCAGTGAATTCATTTATTGCAATATAATGTCCTTCATGAGGTAGCATCTTGGTCTCTTTCAAATTTGTAAGAATCTCAGTCTGTACCCTGGCTAAGATTTCTGAGGTCACGTGTTGATTGACAGAGGCTCTAGCTCCTCACAGTCATTTCCATAAACTTGCGTGTTTCTTTTGTGTGGATTTTGCAGCATGCTGAGGAAGAAGCATGTGATTTACCCTGAAATCATGCCACAGCGTTTTGTAATTACAAAGTAAGCCATATTATCCCAAACAGGCTCCCTGACCCTCTGAGCTGAGGGTATGACTAAGCCTGTTCCATGTCTGTGATGAAACGTCAATGCTGTGAAGTGGTTTATTGTGAAGGTGCACAGGGCCTGGAAGTGCGCTCGGCCGTTTCTTACTCACAGTAACGTGCAGAGACACTGCTCAGACTCACAATTCAGAGTTTGTGCTGCGGTAAAGGTGAATGAGTCCAACACACATAAAGAAGGTAAACATGAACTAACAAAATAAAGCAGATGAAAGGTGAGAGGTGTAGCTACACTGTTGTTGCTTGAATCATCGGTTCGCGGTCGAATGATGAATGAGCGACACATTTTTCTGGAAAGGAGAAGATGAGTACAGAGGAGGAGATAAATGCAGAGAAGGACAATCTCAGTGATGAACAGAGGGAGCAGACTGAGGAGGCGGCGAGGTGGGGGAGAAAAGATCCACAGAAGAGTTCAGACCAGTGAATGAAGCTGCGATTAAAACTCTGCCTGTTAAAGAAGAGACTGCTTCTGTAACACCTGAGAGGTAGTTCAGTGAATTTCCCTCAATCTTATCTGATATCGGGAGCGTTTGTGAAACAAGACAAAAGGAATTACAGCCGTTGAACATCTCGCTTTAATCGCTCTGAGAACACAAGTCAACAAATCACATAGTACTAGTAGCTTTTAGATTTAAAATAAGAGTTGTTACGTGTTATATTTGTACTGAAAAATAAAAAAATTAAGCATTTGAGGCAAAATCTCATCCTCTTGGTGAAATACCCTTTTTACACTTAGAAATACAATAGTTTTCCTCAGCTCCAAGCAAGCAAGCATTATTCAAATTACTGTCTTACTCATCAGACTGATTTTATTAATGATTTTGCAATAACATGCTGTATTTTGAGGGAAATTGACTTTTAAAATTATTATTGGGTTTGTTCTCCGAGGTTCATACACTTTACATGATTAAACTTTTAAGACAGTGATAAAATGCAGCCAAACAGCACAGGGGGAGTTTCTGCTCCCTGCTCTTACAGCCCATCACCTACCTCATCATTGTCGTGTCCGCTGTCTCAGCTAATGCATGAATCGGTGAGTCAGCCACAGTGGCGTCACAGCCTGAAGCCTCCGTGCCAGAAGTGTTGTGGCCTCATTCGAGTCTGGGTCAAAGTGTCCTGTGACCGCACCTCTACATACTGAGATCTATTCTGGATCTTTGAGGAAACTTTACTATACAAATTTAAGTTTAGTTTGTTTAGATACTTTCGTACTAGCACCATTATTATATATACCCCATGTCATCGTTGGCTGAAGAAGATAATGAACAAATAATGAACACCTTTCTGTACATGCTTTGGAATTGTAAAGATATTTACTCCGTCTGTGAAAAAGATTCATGTTGAACAGTTGAACATTTTGATATTGAAATTGCTTTTATCTTTTCGAAATAAGTGTGCTATCATTAATTTTTTTTTAAATGTTTCTAACTGGAGCTAATTACATACAAACCTCTCAGAACACATTGTTTCACGTCTGTTCATCAGTAAATCAGACAACAAATCAAGTATTCCACTGTTATAATAATTATGTTTTATTCTGTACATTAAGAATGTGTGTTATTAGTATTTCTCCTTGATGAGATGTTTGTTTTGTATGTGTTGTACTTATTTCCTCACCTCATCATTTTCTCCTTTAATGTCTCTTTGAGTGTTTGTTGTACCTTTGTGCGTATAAAATTCTATTACAGATAAAACTTATATATATATATATATATATATATATATATTTAGAAAAATATTTCTTCTTAAAACATTACAAATATATACCCTAGCTTCAAGTTACTTTCAAAACTAAGTTTAAAAAAACGCTGTATTCTTTCTTTACTGTTTATTTTCTACAACTTGTTTATCCAGAGTCAATTTTAGCTTTAGGAGCATGTGCAGTAAACAAAGGTGACGAAGATCTAAATAATAAGAAAATGTGGACTCGTACACCGTGTGCCAGCAGGGGTAACACGGACGAAAGGCTGTGAAGTGAAAATATCATTTATCAGTCGGTGGTTTGATGCTGGCTGTGGATTAAAAGGATGGGAGGAGGATGAATTGTCACTGAGAGGCCTGTGTTTGGGTGAAAGGATCTCCAGGGACTGTTAGAAGCTGTTCAACTCTCATTGAATCCTATCTCACCTTATTGTGCCCACACAAGTTCTGAAAATTGGATCTTATTTGAGTTTGATCTTTGAATGTTACTGTTGCATTAGATAGGAGGACGACACCCTCACAGAGTCCCTGTGTCTTCTGTTCCCCTGAACATTAGAATTTTCACTTTGCTTCACACACTATCTCTGTCCCTCTCGGTTAAAAAGGAGGCTTTTCAGTAAGGTACTTTATAACGGTTTTGTATTTCTAACATCAAGACATTTTTGTATTACTGTGTCAACTTCCTGGACAAAGACGCTTTTCTATCTCTTTGAGACTGTGCCACCCTTTGAACTGCACTCTCACAGGAAACCTTCAGTGTGCATCGAAGTACATTCACTCCACCTCACTCCCTCCCTCATGAAAGAGTCATTTGAAATGTTAAGTTTAAGTGTTTTTTCTATTCATTTCCTTGTTCCTGTTGAGTGGATCTAACCTGTTTTTTCTTTTTCTCCTTATACTTGTCCTTCTCTGTCCTTGTCCACTCTGGTTGCTCCTCTGTCTTTAGCTAATTCACACCATCAGTGTGGTGGACAGAGACGAGCCACAATCTGGACATCGCTTCTTTTTCACCCTGGCCCCGGAGGCTTCCAGCAATCGACACTTCACCCTGTGGGATGTCAAAGGTGAGAGGCCTTAGGTCTTATATTGGGGTGAAGAGCTTATGGCATTATCAGCATAATTTAATGTTAAATAATAACATGGAAATATGGAATTTGCAGCCCAGTGTGGTACAGTGGGCGTCCAGTCAGTCTTAGCCTTTTTAGATTATTGATTTTGTCACAGATTCGTTGGTGGAAGAAACTATATCATTATATTCATCTCCCTGTCAGGCCCCAGTCTCATTTCTTCATTTGCACATGATTGAATGCAGATCTTAAATGTGCATGACTACAGCAAGACTTTCCCTGACTCAAATGTTGGAGATCATGGTAAAGCTCGTAAAGACAGAAGAGTTTAAAGTGATTTCTGCATTCCCCACAGTGATTGGCATTCTGACAGTCTGGTGAAGTGCTTAAGGGTGTTCTGTCAATGTAGACCTTAAGGCAGTATTGAGTTAGTTTAAAAGACTGCAGCTCCCGAGACTTCAAAAATACAATGTCTGAATACTCACTGGTAATTTCAACGTCTTAGTTTCCTCACTCAGGTGCCAGATGGTTGACATTTTTAACATGAGGCATATCATAGAGAACACTGTGGGAAGGTTTTTGACAATTTCAGGAGGCTTTTCAAAATGACTGCAAAATAGTGATTTGTTTTATTTTCCTGCGATTTGGAGGTCACCTCATTATCAGGCAGATTTTCAAATTATTTTGTTTGATATAAAACACCACCTGTTCTGCTGCTGCAAGCAGACTGATATTATTTCATTTTATCACATGTGACACTCTGTACTTGCAGACAAAACTATTTTAACAGTTAGCTTTTTTCAAAGTTTGCCTCAGTATGTGAGCCGGAGCGCTATGCAGAGAATTTTTTCCACGCAGTAGTGGGATTTTATCTGAATGTCATTATCCTTGAAATAAATTACAGAACACTACACAGAAGTTTCTCTTGATTCCTCTTAAACACGATGTCAACAGTTTATGTAATTTTCTGAAGCGTCATCAAATTGTTATTCTGTGAAACACACACAGTTTTATGTCAGTATCTGCACAGTGTAAGAAAACATTAAAATCACTTTTCCCCTGTGATGACTTTGGTTTGATGGGAAGATAGTTTTTTCATGCTCGTCTGTTTTTGCAAACATGCTTGCAGATGCCACGTTTAGCAATGTGTACGTAAGTGAATGTGACATCTGGTTAAATCAAGATTGATCTGACACCAGGAAAATGTCAGGGGAGCAGCCTGAGCTTGAGAAATGTCACAGTGCGGAGGCTGCAGCGTTCTCCTGAAGTCGTCCCACTCACATGCACGTGAATGGATAAAGGAATAACCCAAGCCTTGTATAACATGTAAACACATACTATTTAAAGTATACACACAGTTTTCTTCTCCCCCCTACGCACAAAGAGTAAACGCACACACACAGTTGTTCCAAATATATATACATATTTATTAATATACTAGATATACCAACACAAACACTATTGCAGATCCTGTATATAGATTTATTTTGAAAGATACAAAACCCCATACAGAGTTTTCATCCTCCCGCCCTCTTTTTTCCACTCTGGTGTCTCTTTTCATGGACACATTTGTCAACCCGTCGCTTTCAATCTGTCACTTCGTCTTTTCCTTATCATGGCCTCACATCGTGTTCTGTCTCAAAGCCTTGACGCACGAGGATGAAAAGCCATTCTTTTTCCCTATGTTGCTAAAACGCTACCTGTGCTCATGTCCCTGTAGTCCCTGTTAAAAAGCGATGTAATGTGATATGAGGCCGGGGAAAAAAGATAGAAATTTACTTTACATCTGTATGAAATATGGCTATTGAAGGTTTTGATTTGAAATTGCACAAGATGCCACAGTTTGTGTTCATTCACCCTGGAAGAGAACACTGTGTAAAAGTCAAAATGACAAAGTCAGCAGTGTAATGTTCCCGTACATAAACGGTAATATGAAGATTGTTCTACATGTGCCAGAGGAGCTCAGGGGCGACATGGATAATGGTGATATATGTTCTGGAGATGGATTGCTCGGCATCCTCTATGCAAGTCTACCCACAAAGCGGCTCCCACTCTATTTGTCAAAGCCTCCTCCTGTATTCTATGTTACATTTCTCTATGTCTCTGGCAGAGAAGTTTAATTTCAAACAGTGGCTCTCTCACTCATTTTGCCTCACGTTTTTTTCTTTGTTTGCTAGATAAAATGAATTGCACGAAAGCTGCTCACAGAAGTCTTTTAACCCCAAGTTGACTCGACAGCTCTTCTTTTGAGTCTGTGAACTGTGCCTAATGGAAAATGATTTAGTCAGTGTTTATTCTTTTACTCACCGCTCGACCACTCGATAATTTCTTGAGGTTGTTTTCATTGTTGCTTTTGAATCAAATGTCAAACATCTTACATTTTTGAAAAGTATGATTTGTCCTGATATGTGAGTAACGATCAACTCTATCTTTTTCTTTCTCTTAGCTCAGTAAGTACAGTCTTGAGTTGAGGGGAGTAAAAACAACAAGGGTCATAAAAGCACTCACTGGATTGAGATCATAAATTTTAGAGCAGCGTGGTAAAAGAAAACACACATCAGTGAGCAGACGAAAAGGTTTTGTTCTTCAAACATTAAATCCCTCATGTGCAATCCTCTGCTCTACCTTGTCTCTCTGATCCACCCCGACCCCGCTACACTCCCACCACCACCCAGACAACACAGCCGGCATCCGGACCCAGCGGTCAGGCTTCAACCGCCATGAGCAGAATGTGTACTTCCTGCCTATCCTGGTGGTCGACAGCGGGCCTCCCTCCCTGAGCTCCACAGGCACCCTGACCATCCACGTCTGCGGCTGCGACACTGGTGAGAACTATACTGCGGGAGCTGCACCATTACTAACATTATCGTCACTGTCACCCTTCTGCATCAGCAGCAGCAGCACAACGGAAAAGGTCATCTACATGACATTGTTTTGGTCAGCAAACAGTTCTTATCAGCTTATGTGTGCGGAAAATAAAATATCACAAGGCCATAAATCTGCAAACAAATGGCCCTTGAGTGAATTTCATCTGGGTGAAGATATAATGTATGCATGATAACACTTTATTTTTCTCTTGATAAAACAGTGATTAATCCTTGTCCACTGAACAGATTCATAACCTGTGTTGAATATGTACAGAAATATACTGTTTTTCTTTTTTTCTCTCTGTCAACACAGAGGGAGCCATCCAGTCCTGCAATGCCACAGCCTACGTAATGAGTGCTGCTCTCAGCCCTGGGGCGCTTATAGCACTACTGGTCTGCATGCTCATCCTCATAGGTAAGCACATGGATGTACTCATGTATTGTATATATGGATGGATGATGGATGGATAACCACAATTGTTAGCATTGCTTTTCTGGGGTCAACTACTCGAGCAGGTCCAGCAGGAGTTTCAATAGTGAGAGGTTCCTTTTAAAAGGGCAAGTCTGAGGGATGCATCAAAAGAAATTACTTAATGTCTTCTGCTCATAAAATCATGCAAGAGAGTGTCTTTCAATTTTTCATCTCTCCTGTTTAATATCTTGTTTGCTGCATTTATGAGAAGAAAGCTTTTGTTTAAGACCGGGTCAAACATGATGTCTGGGTTTATGAATGATACCGACCCACTTTGATCCTCGGAATACAGACGTAATGAAAGGTAGTAAAGTGGAGGGGGGGGTTTGAGACAGCAAACAGGAGAAAGAGCTGCCTCAGCACTAGTATCCCCCTGGAACAACCGCCTTTAAGTAGGAAAAGCTTTCCAGACATTCTTTGATATTTATATATATATATATAAATATATATATACACACATGCACACACATGCACATAACACACACATGCACGCACATGCTCACCCTCTCGGGGACAGAAGAGGTTTGGTATTGTCATATTTGAAAATTTCATGAGCTTGCTTCTCCCTCTCCCCCTCCTGCACATCTCTGCATCCCACTCCTCAGTGACAGCGAGAAACGACATCGCTGTCATGTTGTTTTGTCTCCCCCGCTCCTGCCTCTACACATTTTACACTGTGCAGGCAGTGAATGATGGACGATGTGACAGGAGGCAGGAGTTACTGAGGCTTAACTTTGCTTTGTGTTTTGTTTAAGAGCTGTACTAATGAGGGTTGTTAAAACTCTGTCTCCATTGACCAAACCGTCCACTGTAGTGAACTTCAAAAGCAGAGTATAATTTATTTATCGTGGCTTTTAGAGCCCCAACAAAAATGTTATGTACAAATCTGAGGCAACCTCTGCTGGCTATAAAAAAACTGTGTTTGCAGTGTGCTGTGGTGTTGGTATCATGGGACAGATGACATCCTCTCTAAGGTCTGAGTAAAAAACAATTATTTGGCCTTTAAAAGCTCAACCCTGTGCAGGGGTGTGCATGGTACAATTTATTTTTCCAAACAGGCGAAGCAGAAGTAACACACTTAAGCCAAATACTTTCAAAATGTTGATATCGTTTCATTTTGATTCCGTTAATGAAACTAGTGCAGTGCTCGTTCTAGACCTGCCTGCCTGGAGAAGAATGTTTGCTCTGCCTGTGATAATGCTCCTGCTCCTATTCATTGTCATTAGTGGCTAACAGTTCTATAATGTACTGTCACTATCTTATTGTTTGCATGGAGGTTGTTGTGTGCAGAGCTTTTTATAAACAGTCTATGGGGCAGAATGTCATTAAAAAACATTGTGTTCATCCTACCTGGTTTATCGACATCGAAGAGTAAAAACGAAACAGGAAATACAAAACAAACATTGTGCTTTGAAGACAACATTTCTATATAGGAAGTGATTGTATAAGTGTTGTTGCCATGACAGAGAGCATCACCTGTGCCATGTGTCTTGGTCCAATACGATGAAATAAAAATAATCAAATTATCAAAATGATCTGGTGGCACTTTTGACCCACGGTTAGATCCCATTGCCCACTGCTGCAGTTTATCTGAGGACCTAGAGGAAGACATTTTTTGTTAGCATGCTGCTGACAACAACATAGCACTGTTAATTCAAGTTTCATTGATATGGAATATATCACATGCATCGCCTCGAACTTGGCACTGCACTTTCTTCAGTGTGAAGCTGATAAGATGAACAGTTCCTGATTATGCATTCCAAATACAGACAGACCGACATTTGGTAGATGGTGTCATATTGATTCCAATAGTCAGGGACTCTAATCGGTGCTAAGCCCATGCCACTCTGACTGACTGATTGGTTAGAAATGGACCAAACGCGCCTCATCAACACTCTGAAGTACAGGCTAAGTCCGAGCACTTGGCTTCTGCCAGTCATCATGTTGATGGTAAAATCTCAGGGCTGCAGGCATCAGCAGGGTTTAGCTGTGTGTTCACAACTGTCGCCTGGTGTGAAAAACAGACAGGAGCGCGGCAGCAATCACATATTTTCCATCGCACACCAAAACTTTCCTGTTCCTTCTTTAGTTAACATCCATGCACACACACACACACACACACATTTAGTACGTGTCCACTCATGCACGCTGAGCACACATCCCCATGCTTAGATAAATCAGTCTTCACCTATTAACTGCAATGCAATCCATTCTCTCTAAGCACCATTACTGTGTGCACCTCGTCTTCTCACACACACACACACCACACACAGCGACGGCCTAACCAGCCAGCCAGCGCTGCCTCTCTCGTGAGACTGGACCACCTCTATTACATCAATTGTTGGATGATGAGAAAAATGAAAACAAATTTCTGCCTAATTACCTTACAAACAAACAGTCCCTCCATCAGTTCATTTATAGGCCTGATGTGATGAATCCATTCCACTGCGCCGCAGCATCTGCATGCATCCATTCCAATTACCTCCCATCTGCTTGCAATGAACTCCAGGGTGCGGGCAACCAGCGCAGCCCAAGGGTAAATTAACCGTCTTGTCAGGAACACTCCCCGTAACATCTGTACACAAGGGGACCAGCTTTGTACGTATAGGAGGCAGCTATACACTAATGCCCACACGTGCTTCCTACAAAGGTAAGATCTGCACCAGTGTTGTATTAAGATTGCCTGAGGCTTGCTAATCTCCACGTTAAATAGCTTTTCAGTGGCTTACAGTTCAAGCAGCTGTAAACATAACAGGTAGTCACATGTGATCAGTGAGGAAGTGAGGTTATCTGATCGTCTGTGCTTCACACCGATCCGACACATACTTCTTCTAACAGTGATAGCTCAAGAAACAGCTGATCTGCTCTTATGAGGGAGTTCATAACATCTAGTCTTTTTCCTCCTGATACTCTCATTAGAGTGAATTTAGACTGATTGTCTTTCGCTTGTTTAGTATGCAAGGCAGCGCGCGTCGCAATTTACCACCAACTATGACTGTTTCCTCGACCCAGTGGCAATTACTTTACCCCATTCATGGCATAGAAGAATAAGCACAATAGTTCCAGACACCTCTCTCCCAGCGGAGCCCGGCTAACAATGTAAGAGAAGAACGACTGCACGTTATCAGTCAGAGATCCTGCATGAAGTCCCCATTCAAGATCAGCGCGGCTCATTACACGGGCGCAAACACGGAGTGTTTTCACCATGCAAGTTATTTTTTAGGCCGTTTACAAGATAATTAGAAGGAGCTGCAACATTTGTAAACATCATATGCTTGAAACCAATGGTTTCATTGTTGCTAAGGAGAAAGAAGGAGCAGCAAAAGGAAAGCAGATTTGAAATATGGTGTTTTATTGTCACATCCTGATTTCCAAGGTCGGTTTGTAAGAGCACATTTGTCCATGGGCTTTCTTCATGCATACTAATACATGTGCTTTAACGTGTACGTCGTACACAGCCTGTAAGGTCCTGAGATTGATCTAGTTTGACTTTACCGGTGGGTTCAGAGCATCAAACAGTGCAGTCGCTGGGCCCTTTATAATTGATGGTCTTTATATCTCTGTGGGCTTGTAGGCATTTGTTTTAGGCAACAGGTTATCTGTTCAGAAGATGCATGGTGCCTACCGGTTAATGATCTATATAAATGTCCCCTCACTGGCATCCTTTCAGAGGAATAGCTCGAGAAAAAAGGGGAATCTGTCTGTGGATACACAGTACACAGCTGACTAGCCACAAGAAACACATCCTGCTGCCAGTCAAAGCCGAGTAACTCTGGGAAAATATTTCACCTCTTTATGTTGCTCCTCTCCTTCTTTTTTCATAAGTGAAATCCCTTCATAACAAGCACGGCTAACCAGCATTTCCCTGGATGTATTATGATTCTTCATAACCAGTTAAAAAAAAAGCACATATCAATTAACTCTGCGAATTATCACATTAACATCTTCTGGAAACAATCACATTTATTTTGATCAGTTCTCTATTATATAGATGTAAACAAATGAATCAGGCCTGTTTCACCAGCTGCAGCATTTAACATGAGATAATAAATAATCATCTTTGGAAAAAAAGGTCTCTGCACAATTTTAGCGACAGTATCATCCTCGTAATTTATTAGAATGATTATTAAAGTTATTCTTTCTAATCAAGATGCAGGATTGTATTTGAGAAAATTCTCCATAGTTTTTAAATCAACCTCCCCTGCTTTTTGGGAATTAATTACTTGATCAAAAAGAGATGATTGCTGCTAATCCATAAAACCGAACTTGTTCATTTTCTCCAGTGTGCATAATTCATATATATATATATATATATATATATATTAAATGGCCTCTGAAATGACATTGGGTGACATTGGATTGGAAAACCTCCACCATGATTCATACAGAGATTTGCAGCTCTAATGAGGGATGAGAAAGCTATAAGTGAGACTTCTCTTATCTTAAAATAACTAAGCTGAAATCAAACTCCTATTAATTCATCCATGCATACGACCTTTGTTTTCCTCTTCTGTGATTAGTGATCCATCTCAATTGTTTTCCTTGTTTTAATCCAAATACTGAACCACATTTTCTGAGGTATTTCTTTACTTGTTTTGGAGGTGTAGGTCTTTTTATTGTTTTAACTCAGGTGATGGAACCACAGAGTGTAAGTTTCATTCAACTTGGATGAGTATTGATATACAGATTGCCTCCATTAGAGCATTTGAATCATATTTCTGAGAAAGGCAATCAGTATTGTGAAAAAAATCAATCTTCATGCATTTGTAATGTAAAACTTAATAATATATTATCTTCCCCTGCTGTGCCTTAGCCCTGAGAGGTGAAACAAAGATACAATGACATTTGGATTTCTTTTTTTTATGGGAAGATTACTTTGCAAATCCATCATCCAGCACAGTGCATGTTTCATTTCCAGTAGTGTGTGTGTGTGTGTGTGTGTGTGTGTGTGTGTGTGTGTGTGTGTGTGTATCCACATTAAGCCCAATTATTTTATTTAGAAAAGTTGGTAGTTCTGAATCCTAAATCTGGATTGTTATGTTATTATTCTTAGAAGCATGAAGAGGAGTAGCATTCTGCTTGGAAGCTCTTTAAACTCAGCCTGACAGATCTTAATCCATGTCTCCTGTGCAGAGAGTTAAAGCTGCAGATTTCAAATGACTTGCTGTAATGACAGTTTATAAAATCCCTTAAATAGGAACCTGCCTCTCCCTCTGGCTTTATCTCATCCTCCCGTTCAGCTTTATCTGACAACCTTTTTGAAAAAAAACACTGAGTTGCAACATTTCCCGACACCGAGGAAAAGCAATGTTGTCTTCATGAACTCATTCAGTTGTACATATTTAGTATTAATGTGTAATGCAGCTTGGTCTTCATCTCTTTCTGCATCTTATTCTGTGTCCTTTTCCATCAGTTCTCGTCTTGCTGATCCTGACCCTGAAACGCCACAGGAAGGGCCAGAGGATGGCAGAGGACGAGGAGGACATGAGGGATAACGTCATCAAGTACAATGACGAGGGCGGAGGGGAGCAGGACACTCAGGCGTACGACATGAGCGCCCTGAGGAACCTCTATGACTTCCCAGAGGCCAAGAGCTGTGACTCTGGCCCGGACATTCGCTCACTGCCACAGTGGATACAGGCGAGCCGAGTAACTGGTGGCGCAGAGGGAACTGCAGCGGCAGCAGTTGCGGCGACGGCAGACTTCTCCCTATTCAAAGGCTACATCCGGAAGAAGGTGGAGCAGGCTGACGCTGACCTGTCGGTCCCGCCTTATGACTCCTTCCAGACGTACGCCTTTGAGGGCACCAGTTCACCAGCGCTGTCACTCAGCTCCATCCACACGCTGTCCACCACCTCCGAGCAGGATTTCTCCTACCTCAGCGACTGGGGACCACGTTTCAGACAACTGGCGGGCTACTACGCTCCAGGAAACCCAGAGGAGGAAGGATCCTAGCACAGCTCCTCCTCTGCAGAGAGACATTTAAACTCCCTCTCATCCTCCTTCTTCTCCTTCTCTGCCTCCTCTTCTCACCCTCTGGCACTCTACTAAGATCATCAGAGCCAGCACTGTGTACTCCTTAAAACAGAGCACAGCTTCTTTATCTCTTTGAAAGAAAGTTCCCTGCGTCAAAGTTTAAACTTGAGATTTTTACACTCTTCTGATTGTTTTTTGTGAGATGTCAAATGTCAACATGAAAGCTCTGGCGATCATTGGAGAAAGAGGAGCAAAAGAGAGATGTCCACGATTAGTCACGTGTGAAGGGACGACTTCTTTTCTCTCCCTAACCATAAATGAAAATCCTTATTTTAAGCTGAGACTGTTTTCAGAATTCAGAGGAAAAAAAAAAAAAAAACATGTCATGGCAAACAGTCTGACAAAAGTATTTATTTAAGGAGGAAATATTTATGTATTTATTTGTTTTTATGTATTTATTTATTTATTTTACACCATTATTACCGTCATGATAACTGCAACAGTGGACTCTGCTGAAGTGCTGAAGAAACCAGGAAAAGAGGAGGACACTGTGACACAAACAACACAGAACAGAGAAAGGAGGGCAGGAGCAGCAGAGGACTCTCCACATTGATGGTGCAGAACTGGCGACCTGGTCAAATATTTGTATTTATTTTCTATGACCACTTTTGTAAAATAACCGACTTAAGAGAGAAAAATAAATGGCTAACAGTAAGAGGGAACAGATGCAGTGAAAGGAAACACAGAGAGCTACCAGTTCAGTCTGAATGCTTGAGCCTGACATACTTTTGCTGTATTTTAGTGATATATTTCGTTTTATTTTTATTTTGAAGGTCACAAACTGAGGACAATTGTGTGTTAACAATTTCTTTCCTTATCCTGTCCGCAGCCATTTGTAAGGCAATAAGGCACAAACCGCAGCAGTGATTTAAGACTGATCAAAATGACTGTTTCATGGAATTGGCTGGTGGCCGCCTTCGTCCCACAGGAAGCCAATCATCATTCCAGAGTTGTGTGTGAATGTGTACAATATGTTCCATTCATTTTATATCCTTAGATGTTTTATTATGCTTTTGTTATTTTGTTTCCTTCTTGGGGGGGGGGGTGGGCGAGGGGCACGGGTGACAACACATCGGCCGTGTCTAATTAAAAGCGTGAGGTTCAAGGCTGATAACGTGATTAACGGACTGGTCACATCCACCTTTTATCCACAACCTATTCAATGTCGACCTTAACTTGAAAAATGTATCGGAAATTAAAGAAAAGATTCAAACGAATAAATATTTAATTTTTTTGCTACAAACTTACATCTCATTGTGTGAAATATACCCGGTGAAGTAAATAGAGCATCCATCTGCCCAACCATTGTTGGCCACTTGTTTGCTGAAGATGTCCCCTGAATTATGAATAATCCTGGAGCTAGTTTGTGTTTACACCAGGGGAAGATTCAGAGAATAGTCCTGGATGGAAACAAACAGACCATATGACAGGCCAGAGCCAAACAAAGGCTCAGCCCTCAGTGCGGCTCCCTCCTGTCTCCCTCCTGCCAAACTACTGTAATTGTCATAGTCACCAGAGGACGCTGAGGCATATGAAGCTGCTTTCATCTTTATGATCTGCTGCGGAAATGGCCAGTCAGACGGTGGCTGGCCTTCACATTCAATTGCTTTCATAACTCGGGTTTCAAAGAAAATGTCAGCTTTTTTTGTTGTCAGGAGGTCTGCTGTATCCACTAATTGTTTTCTGAGAGTTGACATTGAACTGTGTTTCAAACAATAATTATCTATCGCTGCTAAACAAAATGAAGCTGCTTCCAGACTCTTGGTTTCATCAGATCGAGCTGAAGTGACAGCAACTTGAAAAAATGGAAAGTATTGCAGGTTGTTTGTTTTGTCTGTTAGAGGAGTGTTGCCAAAATTATCAGATCAGCGGTAAACTGGACTTCACAGTGTTGCAGTTGCTGCATTTCAGGCTTTTACTTATTATCATTAATTATGTAAATGACCGTTTTAAACTGTAATTGCCTGAAGATGAATATTCTGGGAAAATCTGGAGAGTAATTTAACAAGGTTAAAGTTTAAACTTAAATTGATTCCATAATTTGAATCCCATTTAACAGGACTGCCTTTACCAGTTTGCAGCACATTACTGTACTGAGCCATATACTGCTGCAGTGTATGTATTTATGGAACTTTACGAAGGGGTATATTAAGCTATCCATTATTAATCATTGCCTTTAGCCTTACAGCATTTACCAATTGAAAAACAAGTGTCAGGGTTTGGGAGGATGTACACAAATAGGTCAGCACGAGCTGTACAGCCGCACAGGGAGGGATGAGTACGTGTCTGCCTCAGAAGAAACTCTGAACAAGTCAATGTCACCGTGACGACCACAGCTCATGTGACTAATGCTGTGAAAAGCTGAGGTTAAATGAGGAAGCACATGTTCAGGGAAAGAAAGCTCCTCCGGTCACCCCTGCAAATGAGCCTTTTTTTTCTTATCTTCCATCTTTGTCAAAGAAAATGCCGTTCGTTAGTGATGACCTGCACACGTGAACACCCCCCCCCCCCCCCACCCACCCAACTCCAAGGGCAACACGAGAGTCATCATTATTTATGCAGATGGATGTTTTGTGATTGACACTTCTCCAGGGGGATCAGTGTGCGCACATTAAATATCCTCGTCTCTTCTCTCTGGACCTTGCTGGGTAATGACAATTGATTAAACATTGGAGGGGAAATATGAATTTGTGCTGCAGAAAATATCAATCATATATAGCCTAATAGCTGAATAACAGTCGTTATTTAGTTTCCAGACGCACTCAAAACAAAAACTTTCACCTTTACCTGTAACAACAAATCCATTTAGCTGAAATACACCACACAAGTGAATCCAGCCCTGCCACAACAAATGCAAATGCAGCACTCTGCAAAATCTGAATTAATTAAGTGTGATCCCTGTTATGGTTTAGATGGCCATTGACTTTTTACAAAAACTGCACTTAGGTAGAGAAAGGTGTTTTATTCTCGATGTGACATCCACGCCCAGACACACACTTCATTCAAAGCTTGTATAATGATGATGACTTTTTGTTGTTGGTTTTGACAGTGTATTACTAAAATGAGAGAAACCATCTTTATCTTTAATTTGTATAAGGTTTACTCTGGCTTTTTAGGACCTATAGTGCACCCAGCCACCAGGGGGCAATCAAGATGATTTGGTTGTTTTTTGGAGCATTCATCTCATATAATGCTATTAAAAAAGCACAGAGACATCAAATACCATTTTCTGAAACATTTATCCTGTCACAGCAGGACAGGAGAGTTTCCCAGCATGCATTGGAAAAAGAGGCAGGCCACACTCTGGGCACTGTCAGCAGTCTATCACAAGACTAACACATACAGACCCATGGGCAATTAAGAGCTCAACCAAGGCTGAGGACCGTGGGAGGAAACCAACACAGTCACATGGAGGAAAATGGGACTTTTTTGTCTTTGCGGTGACAGTACAGGCATCAAATATAAACACTTCTTCAGAAATAAGGTTCTGACGTTAAGATGATATTGATCCAGTTATTGCCTCCTCGGGCAGGTTGTTCAAAGTCACAGAGGCCCTGATGGAGAAAGGTGGCTACTCCTTTCTTTAATTCTAAATGTTGGATGTCGGCCCCGGTGGAGGTTCAGAGGCTGCAGTGCCTCACTCAAGGACAAATTGCGTGCAGGGGCGGATGTAACCAGACTTTAATAGGGATAAGCTAGGAATGATGCTTGGATTTACCGTTTATATAGAATATATATCAGATAAAAATGGCTTGAAAAAGCATTACATTTAGAAATCCTGAAGATTCCACTTGGAAGCAAAAGCCTTTTGCAGGTTTCATCTGGTGGCTGGGTCCCTCTTTTGGTCTGTGTGGACTTCTGAAATCCCTCTGGCCATTACAACTCACCCATATAAGACCTCTATTCAGTCACTTTCAGTCCAGAAGTTCCCCAAACTACTCAAAAATGGCAGCGAGCCAAAGTAACAGTGGCCTGGACGAACAGCCCCAGATAGTCTCTGCAGGTGTGGGATTAGGCACCAGTGGAACCTAGGGACTCCTGCAGGGATATGTCACCTGTTTCTGCTGGACATGTGTACACTGTCAATGTAGGGAAGTTATTAAGATGATCACAGAGGCTTATTTAAATTATTTTGTTTAAAAAAATCAAAAAGTCCTTTCATACATCGACAGTGCGTGGCTTGTTTTTTTCCGAGTCAGTGATAAAGTGCAAGTCTGACAGACGAATGTGCCTGAAAACCAACATCTGTAACAGTCACGTGTTATGTAATGGATTGGAGCGCCCTACAGATGAATCAGATGAGGACATTGTGCCTGAAAGCTCGACATTGCTGTTTTGTAATTGTCCTTGATGTCTGCTTCAGCTGATCCTCGTGCCACTGTCAAAATGTTCCTCATTGTGGCGTTGTGCACAAATTCATGTCCATCATTCTGTACAAGATGGAGCGGGGGAGGGAATGCTGAAAACCACCACAAACCTCTTTTCCTGCTGCTATGAGCTGATTCATGTAATTAAATTGCTTATTAAATTATGTTGAATTAATGGAAAGTGTGTGAGGGAGCTGTAATCACCCCTTCACCTCATCAGGCTTTTGTTCATGGTATATATTTTATCATATATGGTTATTTATTTATATTTATATGAATTTATTTCTTTATTACCTCCTCCAAAGCAGTTATGTTTTCAGCCCTGACTGTTAGTTAGGTAGCTTTTTTGTAAAGTAATTGCATAAAAACAACTGAACAGCTCTCCATGAAACTTGTGGGTCAGGAAAGAACTCATTCAGCTTTGGTCTGGATCCGCATCAGGGGCCGGATCCTTTTATCCCTTTTCTTTGACACCGGTTTTCAATATTCTTTTCCCCCTGGGAATAAAATATCAGGCATATTTAGTAAATTGATATCAATGAGTGTGTAATTAGACACCACTTGATTGAATTTGAGTTGTGTTAGTGTGGATACAGACTTTTTATTTATTTATTTAACAGTGTAAAATAATCTCTCAGGCGATAATTTGCTGATCTTGGTGAAAAGAAAAATAAATCTGGCATATTTAGGGGACTGATGGTTATGAGTGTGTGACATTTGGTGCAGATACAAATACAAATCCAGCTGATTTAAATGTTAATAAGGGAACTGATGGGCCTCAGTGGATGAAGGTGTGGATGGATGATCAACACACCAGGTGCTGTCAATGAGGACTTTACCAAGTGAGATCTCTGAGAGGGATGAAGCTGTAAGTTTCTCTCTCTCTATTTCTGATATTTCTTTTTCCTCCCAGCCAAGTGAAATTATGTCCAGTCTGGATTTAATGTTGGAGAGTAACTGTGCATCTATTTAGAACTTCTATGAAGATTTTAATGTAGTCAACTGCTTTGGCTGTTTGTTTTGTCTCACCCTTGCTGATATCTAGGTGGTTTTATCCAGGGAGTATTTAAAGCTGCTGTTTCCCCAATCAAGGATTTTGTCTTCTGTCTCAGACGATGCTATCTGTCCCTGTGTGTGTGTGTGTGTTTCTTTGGTTGTAATTTTGCAGAGAAAGGGAAGCAGAATGAAAAACCAGACCTTTATGTTTTTGGATTGTTGGTCTTATTTTTGATGTTTCAAAGCTCCCAGACGTGCGGCTCATAAGAAAAAGAAAAAACACAATATCACAGGAACCTTCACACATTAAATGTTTGGTCATTACAACAATGAAACCGGTCACTTTGGGTTTACTGGGATTAAACCTGTCGCCCTCAAGGTGTTTTGTCGATCACACCAACCACCAATAAGCCTCAAAGATATTTTAGGAACTACACATGCAAGAAATAAAATATGAACGTTCAGATAAAAGCTGAACCTGCTCTTCGTTGTGTTGGAGTCAATTGAAAGCGTGTGCACCTGATTTAGAGGTCAGTGGTGACTCCTCTATAACTCAGTGCACATTGCCAGTGTAGCAGACAATTGATTTGACGCTGT